GACTCGCTTCTGACTATTAGGTTACAGTCGAGGTCCGGTAATTCCGTGGGTCGAAAACAATCTGGACTTCGGACACGACAGAAGAAAAAGAACGTTTGAATCCGTCAATCCAAGTCGGCTATCGGCCCAATATGTATCCGGATATGTCTCCGACACCTTTCTCCTCGTCTCGGAGTTTATACTCCCCTTGGGAACCTCGGGGTTAAAATTCCTCTTAGGGAACTCGGGTCGATATCGCCAATATGGCAACGGGACCAGATGGATCGTTGGACCTGAGAGGTGGGACAGTCAAATCACACATGTCACGTTTTCAGATCTTGAGGGGTTTGAGATGACGAAAAAAGTCTATTCCCCAAATTGTCGATATGAAGATCGACATCCGGTATTGCCACTATGTAAAGCTAGTGAGAATTAGCAAAAGAACAGGGAAAAAAAAGAAGAAGAAGAGAGGGGGAACGATGCAGACGTACAATAGGTTGAGTGCAACACCACCAAAATGGCGCGGGGACAAAAGAAGGCATCTACCGGGGGGGGGGAAGCACGCCAGCTCAAAAGCGGCTTTTCCATCGCTCTATCGTCTGAGCGTATTCTGGCAGATAAACCGTCAGCTCTCTTGTTTATGAACCAATCGTGAGGAGATCCAACTGTTGGTTGGTGACACTGCTTTAATTTTTGACTGCGGCCTGTAGGTTCTTGCAAGCCATAGCTCCTTTTTGGGAAGCTAGTGCATCAGACCCAGGGATGGACTGACAAATGAAATCTGGCCGCTGTTCCAAGGGTTGCATAGGAGATCCCTCGTGGCGGTCTGGGAATTGGGAACTTGGATCTGATCTCATCATCTCATCCATGTCGGTTGACTGCTGCAGGGTACCTTTGGTCAAGTGAAAGGGATAGGGGTTGAGAGGATGGAGTTGAGGTTTATGGGGAACCTTGGAAGACATCACGTTTGTGCTCGTTCGCCAACTCCGTTTCGGTCTTTCAACTCCGGTTCCACATTGGCCCGGCTTTCCCCCTGTTCTTCTCGTATGCATGGCCTGACTGCAAGCTGTGGACTACGACTTTGAGAATTGAGGACCTAGTGAACCAGATGGCATTCGTGGTGATCAAAAGCATCTAGGCCCGAAATTAAATACACAGATTGAACCCTCCTTTTGACAGTCGACTGTGCTGTTAGGTAAAGCCAAGCAGGTCATAGGAGAACAACTGCGGCCCCTATAGGGCCCCTGCAACATGCGGACTATGAGGGAGGACCAGGTTCCGGGCATCAAAATTTTTTTTTAAAAAAATGGAAAGAAAATTAAGTCACCAAGTCGCTTGATCCAGTATCCAGTCAGTCCCTTCACCCTTCGTTGCTGTTGGTTCTCATTATCACCATATCGATCTTCTTCCCCATAACGCTGATCAGTTCCCCAATCCTGTGTCTGTGTTCTCTGTTTCTCATATTGATACTATGAAAAGAGCAACAATGAACGTGATTAGAATCACTTCCAACGACGATATCTTTAGCAACACTTGAGGAGGTAATCAGGGGGTGATAGAGAAGAGCCAATGTGATACGCCGCCGTTGATCAGGGAGACTGCGGAGATCGGTGCTTTTGGTGCATTCCCCAAACCATCCAGTCAGCAGACCGAACGGCGACCACCCGAAGATTAGAGTTGGAACTTATCCTCTTCGGTAGATGTATGGACCTTCTAGAAGACTTTCGAAGAAAAGCAGTGGAGGCTGGAGCGGGGTGATCCTGGCTGTCAATCCGGTTCACCTTTCTCCGAGAAGAGTTCGTGAGTGCGTCAACCAGTTGCAGCCGTGGCTCGGAGGTCCGAGCGCCTCATATGTGAATGTTATAATTTCAGTTTGGGGAACGGGATCGACGGAGTTGGGAATTCCGGTCGATAGGGGTGTTGGCTATTGGTTGGTGATCTCGATGATTCCTCCGGTACGGCGGAGAAGATCCCATTGATCCCTCATTTTTGGTTATAGGAGTTCGGAATTCGAGAAAGCTGCATCAAAGCTAAAAGTCTGATACGGAGGGTCAATTCGAGGACTTCACGGACAGGGCATCAATGAGGAATTTCGACTATCGCAAGGGGTTCGGGGTACAAGGCATCCCCACTCAATGTGGCAGCCCATGCCCGACGCCGTGCTCCCCCCGAGTCGGCGGAATATGGTTTCTTTGATTTAACCGTTCGAAGCACGTGGAATTCATTTTGGCTCAGCCCCATAATATGCTGACAGATGGATCAGGACGAATAAGATGCTGACGGGATACCTGACAGGGCTGTCTTTCAGATTTGAAAAAAAAAACAAAAAAAACAAAAAGAAAAAGAAAGAGAGAAGAGAGAGGCTCAACGTGCAGGCTTGTATCAACTCCCCACCTTCTTTGAGCGAGGAGTCACCCCCATGGGCATATAATGCAGGTCTCAGCCCGTCCAACAGTTTGTAGGCTGTAGATCAAACATGGCATCTGCACGGTCTCCACCAGTCTAGCAATTGATTGACATTCTGCATCCCTCTAGGCGGGTTTCCAGTGCCCGACAAGGACAGGGTGCAGGGCCAAAACAAAGAAAACCATACCTAGCCAAGTCTGACATGCAACGAGGGCCGTGCAATCACGTGGCTGGTTCCTGCGTCCAAGATCCCTCGAGCCCCCGGGGCCATTCTGTGGGACTGGCAATCCCTTCTAGAAAAACTGCAGGGCTTCATTGGTCTCTCACCGTATATGGTCACCACCACAATCAATCTTGAGCAACATCCTAGTACCCCCGTGACCTATGAGGTCTGGCGAGGGTCACTGTCAAAGGAATGTCCACCTCAGGCTGCATCTGCTAGTCTCGATTCAGAAATCAAGATGTCCCCGAGTAAGCGCGAACCGCCGTGCATGTCTGGAGTACTGAAGAGGTTCGAGCATATTGGTCGGGGAGATCTTCCAAAGATAGTCCGTTCAATGAGTTCATGACTTCAGGTGGCGTTAAAGGGAGACTTGACCTGCACCGATGCATCTAGAGATGAGATGCGGACAATCCGAAATCCGACCGGAACACATTCCAGCTCGGCGGTTCTGTGCAAGTTCCACATCCAACCGTTCAACCTAGCACGATGTCAAGTGATACAAGCGCATGTTGTATCCACCGAACGGAATTCGAGGTCGAAGGCCAGACAGGTTAAAAAAAAAAGACTCCGCCTTTGGTCCCTATGGGCGGATACATAACCCCTGGATTCAGCCAATCAGCACTCATGAAGCGCTCTGGCCGTTCGTTCTGATTGCGAGATCGATTTCAGCGGAGTCAAGTTACCCAGGATCCACATACTCCACTACAGCCGCAATGACCCGACTTCAAGAATCCGGTAGAAAGGGAAAAGGGAAATGGGAAATGAGCACCCCGAGTCCCCGAGTCCCCGGACCCGACATGATGAGCCAATTATCTAGATTGTTTCCTTTTTTTCTCGCCATCCATGGCTGATCTTCACTCTCTCGAGCACTTCGGGATTAGTTTCATCGGTTGAACCGTGGCAGATGCATCAAGAAAAGGTCGCTCATGGCTCGGGATGAAGTAGATAATCGATGGACTAACTAGTGGGGATTATGGGTACGGTGATCCTGAGCAGATCTTGCAGACTTAGCTTTTACATTGGTAAGTGCTTTCAACGTCTCCAGTCGGGAGGATGTGTTTATATGTATCCTGTGCTTGATAGCACCGAGTCAGAGGGCTTTTGAAATGCTTCATTTTCCAGTTTCTCTGGATGCTGACCTTTTATCCAAGCCTCTTCATGCTTGCTTTTTTTTTCAAATGTCAAAAAGGTCGAGATGGATAGAAAAGATTACAACGAAATTCTAAAAGAGAGAGAAAAACCAATAATAAGAATAATAATAAAAAAAAAAAGAAAACACGCCAACGACCCTGCATCCAAGCTCAGATCCTACTATGCAATTTCTCAAGCACCCAGCATCTAAGCCCCTCTTACCCCGGCTCCGGATGTCTCCTTTCCATTAATCATTTGAGTCTAGCCTATGACACCCCCGGGTGTCGGGCGTTGGAAAGTTCTTACAGGTCCATGGTCTGCCCCTCCAGTGCACTCCGTACTGGAGCCAATGGAGACTTTCTCTCTCTCTTCCCGGGTCAATTGGTCCATCGTCAATCTGCCGAACCTTTTTCTTTCTCTGTCGGCTATTTGTAGTTCTCCCAATTTGGCACAAAGACGAGATGTTTGAGATATTGCTGGGATTGCAGTGTCACAGCGCCAGTTTGACTTCAACTCATCAGAATATAGAGGTTATCAAGCCAATGATAGATGATCTAGGATCATCTGGGTCAACAATCTATCAACGCCCATATTTAGAGTCCATATTTAGAGTCAAGAAATCTAATAAAGAATCAAATAATTCTGAAATGCGAAAATCCCAAATCAAATCAAAAGTCACTGGAAATGGAATTCTTTTTTTTTAGACTAACCAAAAGAAATCGATCCAGATTGTCTTCCAGGCCTTCTTGACTCAGTTTCAGCCTCTGGCTGGTTGCGTATCTTCTCCCCTTCTATACCGTTGACTCTATTTATTAGACTGACCCGCCCATCCTTCAATCTTCAAGTCTTTGGCTTTTTGTCTCTATCCTTTGAATGTGATATCCACTTAATCTTCATACGTTCAACATTGACTCATTCATTCAGTTCTTCATTCACTTAGTCCCCCATTCACTCAGGCCCCCATTCACCCAGTTCCCCTCCCCCCTCCTTCATCCAATTGGATTGTTGCAGTGTTTGTCTCACCCATCAGACTCACCTGCAGCCGTGTTTGAGACTTCTCTTTCAGGGGAGCCCAACTGCAAGACAAACCCACCGGTGTAGGACAACAGAGAAGATCTTTCTTCTACATCTCTTCCACTTCTTTTCTCGTTCTGGAAATTCTCTTTCTCTTCGTTGCGATCACTGGACGAGCTGCCTGGCAATTCATCCTGTAATAGCATATCTTTTGATCCTGCCTATCAGGGTCGAAAAGCTTTCAACAATGACTTTGGTGGCAAGACCTATTCCACCTACGCCTCCCCAGTCCACAGACGGATATCCCTTACCCGAAGAGCCCTTTGGCGGTCCTGGAGGGTATCGACCTGCATACAACGACATGAGCAGGTCTGCTGAGGACATCAGGAATCGTCAGCAAGAGATGGTGAGTCTCTTGTCTTCCGGCTGTTGCTTGGTGACAACGCTAACTATCCTAGCACTACGGGTCTTCTCCGTTCTATCATGCCCCCAGTTTTCCTCAGAACATGCCTCCTCAAGCGGTAAGTTGGACTCCCAGATGGCCATTTAACCCCGTGTGAAACTGACCGGCATACGCAAATTTAGATCATGATGTCCGATGCCCAGGTCACCACGCCTCCTCCGGGATCTGATGAAGATCTCATCCAGATGGGTTCACCTACCATGATGGCCCCTTCTCCACCTTGGTCACAGTCCCCGCACTCTCGCGGCAAAGGACCAGTGAGGGCAGCAAACAAGCGACGCAATCGTACCCGGAGAGAGCTCTCCGATCCAGGTATCAAGCTCGATGGACCAATCAGTCAACTGACTGAATCGTTCCACACTACCCCTATCAAGGACATGGACGCCTGGGTATCTCGATCTGCTCTTGAGCGACAGGATGAGGTCCGCAAGAAGAATGGGAAGATTTCTCGCCCCATGAACTCCTTTATGCTTTATCGGTCTGCATACGCAGAGCGCACCAAGAGACTGGTGGGTGCGAACAACCATCAAATCGTCTCCAAGATTGCGGGCCAAGGCTGGAAGCTCGAGCCCATCGAGATTCGCCGAAAATACGAAGACCTGGCGAAGCTAGAACGCGACAACCATGCCGCAACACATCCAGACTACAAGTTCTCACCCAACAAAAACCCAACCACCACCAGCCGACGCGATAGCGGCTCGCCTGTTCTGATACCCGGACATCTCGGTGAGGAAGGGAGTTTCTCTGACATGGACAGTGACCTGGGGTCGAACCCATACCACGGGTCTTCCTACGCCCACTCACGATCCCAAAGCTTCGAGGAGACTTACTACGACAGTAGTCGGGATTCCTCGCCCTTTGGACCTGACTCCATGATGACACCGGGATATATCCACTCCTCTTGGCAAAACACAAGCCACCCCAGTGGACTCCCAGTGATGCCGCCCAGCTCCCTCCCGAGTTCCGAATCCTACGGTGGAGATATCTACCACTCCATCAGCCCTAACCAGCAGGATATGGGGTATGGCTCTTCCCTCGCTGGACTCCCTGGTGCTACTCACCATGAGTTGCTCCAGCCTCAGCTTACCCACCCGTCACACGGTCTCCCTATGCACGACATGGATCCCCGCCTTCTTAGCAACGGCGGCGAGTCTTCTGGAATTGCCACCATGTCCGGTCCTTCCTATTCCGCCGCTCCTGGCACATATTCTACCTGGGTTGACGACGCTCAACCTGGCTTTTACACAGCCTCATCGGGGCCATCCATGTCTCCGAGCACTGTTTCATACGCGCATCCTAGCATGACCTCGGCCTACCTTCCCAGCATGCAGAGCCTTGAGGGTCGGGACTCCTCCTGGGAGATGCCTCGCCATGAGAGCATGGCTGACCCTACTGGCGCCGAGTTCGAGTTGTGGTGCTCCGCTGAGCCCAGCTCCAATGGCTACTAAGGGCTGTCAGAGAGTCGAATGATGCCCATGGCCATCTTAACCTTTGATAAGCCTGCTGCGTCATTCTTTATGGGCTGACCAACGTCGTGCTGCCGTACTCCTGGGATGAGTATGCGAGCAAGAGTTGGCCACGCTGATGGGCTTTCCCCCCCCCCC